GGATTACAGGCTGAGCCACCGAGCCTGGCTGCCACTGTGGTCTTTGGGAGTGCTGCACTGTTCCCCACTGAACAGAGGAGGGAGGCCGGGCTCAGGCAGGGGATGTCGCTCACCCAAACGCTCGTGCTGGGGACCTTCGGCCTGTGGCTCCTCCCCTGTCCAGCTTCCCAGCCTTGGGGCCCGCAAGGCCCTGCAGAGGGGAGTGCTCAGCCCCACCCGCGTGGTGACGGGGTTGAACAAGGCCCTGCTGGAGGCAGTGGGAACACAGTCCGTGGGGGTGGGGAGGTGCCGTGGCAGATCAGAAGGGAGCAAGGCGTCTCAGCCCTCCTGTCTCCCCCCTCTTCCTGCCTCCATGCTCCTGCAGCTACAGGGAGAGGCGGGAGGGGACGAGAGGAGGTCTAGGAGGTCCAGGAGTGTCTCAGGGGCCCTGGTCCTGCCTTCTCCCCTACCCACCCTGCTCTCACCCGCACTAACGCTGTCTATTTCTTGTGGTGGGCCTGCATGTGTGGGGGAGGCTGGCTTTTAAAGCCAGGGTGTGAAAAACAAGAAGAGTCCAAATTACCCTCAAAACTGGCTTCAGTTGCCCACGATACACAGTGCACGGATTGTCGACGCAGAGCCCTGCACAGCGAGGTGTGCAGATGAGTGTGAAATGCACTATTTAAATCTTTGTACAGGCAGAACGTGCCATTTACATCCTCTCTGCCTCTTTTTAATTTTGTTGTCTGCCAAGCTAGTGCAGTCGAATCCGTTGCACTAGATGTGAGAAACCGTGCGTGCGCTGACAAATGCGAGATGTCTGTCCCCTGTCCTCCACCCTCCCCCACGAAGCCTGCTGAGGGCCAGGCTTGGCCTCTGTGGCCGCTGGGTCTCCGGACAGCCCAGCGCAGGACTGCTGGGATGTGAAAGGGAGAGGCAGGTGGAAGTCTGCAAGATTCAGGATCTGCAGAGGAGGAGCCCGAGGCGCAGACAGGTGGGCGAGGGCGGCACCGCCGGGGGCTGGGGACGCTACTTAGTGTTTCCAAGTTGGAAGTGAAATGACTATGCGAGTACCAGTTCCAGCGCCGTCTCTACTGGACCGGACCGGGAGGTCTGTCAGGATGGGGCAGCGTCTTGGTCACCGCCGGTGCTGGCATATGGCTTGGTGCAGTGTAATCACCCCCCAGTCTGTCAGCGAGCGGAGAAGCTGCTCCCCCAGCTCCTGCCCAGGAGTGGGGACCCCGGCAGCCACCTCTCGTGGGTGTCCCTCACTGTGCAGACTTGCCGCCGGTCACCCTGCCGGGCCCCTGGACGTTCCCAGGGAAGCCTCACCTCATGGTCGGGGTGGTCCTGGGGGTTGGAGGCCCCCTCTCCAAGCTGAGGTGGCTGTGGACAGGACTGTGTGCAGGTGGGATGTCCGGGCTCAGAGCTGGGTCGTTCAGGGAGAAGAGTGAGACGGCTCTTTGCACTGCAGGGAGAGAGGAGGAAGGGACGGTCAGCAGGGCTTCCAGCTTCGCCCCCCAGACTGGCCTCGCCTCTCCCCGCATCCCGCCCAAGCCTCCAAGTGCTTCCAATCGCACTTTTTTTTTTTTTTTTTT